TTATTACACTTTTAATTTATATATTTAAGATAAAAATTAGATTAAGATTATATTAATTTTAATGCGAAAGTTAAATATAGAAGAGAAGAAATTCTGAGGCGGTGTGATTCTTTTCTTCCCAAACATAAAATAAATAAAATTTTAAAGCTACTCTTTACAATCGAAGAGGTGGGGTCCCAATGGCGAAGATAGTTGAAAATGTCCTTTAAGTCTTCTGTTCGAAGGCTGCACGTGACAATTTTATTGGAAATTTTCCAAAAAATTTAAACCGTTTGGTTGAATGGTTTAACGGTTTGTATCGGTCTGAATGGTTTTATTGATTTTGAATGGTTCAACCACTTTATTGGTTTTAAACCTTAACTCGAGCCGTTTATTGTACTGGGTACCGGTCCGACCGGTTTAACCGGCCGGTCCGGTCCGGTTTTTAAAATATTGTTTCTGGTGAGTTGAGGTTCAAACGTGGTGTTCGTCGGTAATTGTGGCAACTCGCTGATACGATTTCGAGTTACATCCTTGCAACAAATATCGAAGGCACTTATACCAACACCTTATTTACCGACGTGATCTAAGTCAAAAAGGCATATATTCTGACGTAATCCCTCTACTTACCGATGTTCCTTTTCGTCTGTAAGTCTATGCTTTTTAGTAGTGAGACTCCAAAATTTAGTAAATATAATTTGAAGGTCGTGAAAATTAAAAGAAAATTATGTAAAAAATTTTATTGAATCTCTCAAAATTCTAGTTAATATTTTTTTTTGAAAATGAGTGAAAATAACAAGCTGTAAGATAAGTTTGGTAATTTTGCAAAGATTGGGAACTATTTTTTATCAAAATAAAAAATTGAGACAATATCTAATATTTATAGTAAAAGTTAAAGACTAAATCTGGTATTTACTCTATATTTATCTACACCTTTTCTCAAGTCATTAACTACCAAATTCTATCCCTTCAAATCCTCTAAAATCCTTCAATTAATTCTCAAATCCAAAATTAAAATAGTAATTAATGATAAAAATCCCATTATCTTCATCAATCTGACGTGTCAGAGATTTCTAGACGAAGGACCATAAAACTTCATGCCGAAGTTTTAATTAACAACTGAAGTGCACGTTCTTGATAGTTGATTTCTCTTTGTCACTAATAAAAAAGGCTTCGTATCTTCATAATAAGCATTCAAATTAGTGCCTCTCTGGTGTCCTGTTCAACACCATTGTTATCATCTTGTTCATTTTGCTTTTTATATATATATATATATAAATATATATATATAAATCAAAATGTTTTAAAATAGGGTACAGAGGTACCCCAACTCATAAACAAATTTTATATAAAAGTTGTTTTTTCATACAAAAATTCTAGTTTCACAAATATAAAAATTAAGTAATAAAATCCAAAGAAAGATTAGATGTTAGAGCATTAAGGCTCCACTCCCCTCCATCTTTCCATAGAGCCAATGAAAGTTCTTCTTTGAATCATTTCAAAGGCTGCCATCTCATCCCAAGAGCTTGAATTATGCTGAATTGAATTCCTCATAAACCAAATTAACCGGGTAATCACAAAGAGAACAAAAGATCAAACCTCCGCCTTGATGTAGTTTTGAATTCCAACACTATGTTTCTCATACAGTTGACATTTGTTATCAGTTCATTTTGCTAGGGAACTGCAAAACCAAGTAAGCGAATCAAGCACATGAAATTTACCGTATGCATAGGCTAGTTAAATGCAGCTAAAAATTCACACATGTAATTGATTTAATCCAGAGGCAATGCAGGAAAATGCAAAACCTAAGTACCAAATATCCAAGAAGCATGATAGACATTTTTCATATATGTAGCAAAGCAACCGTGTCAGTCATTGATATAAAATGCAGAAACATTTAAAACCAACCTCACTACAACTAACTTTTTCATTTCATTATACTTCGCTGAGAGTACATAATCAGGAACAATGCACAGCACTATTGAAAGTAACAAACCTAATACCAAATATTTGAGAAGTTGATCATGGGCGTTGAAGTTATTAACTATTTAGTAAGATGGCAGTTCACAGGACCAGCAATTTAAGGCATGATGAAATGGCATATAAACTTTTCAAATCACACCTAATTAAGAAGGTGAGGCCAAATGCCAAAAAGGAAAGGATTAAAGCATAGATATTCATTAACATTTAATATTAACAAAAGGGCACCAAATCCAGCAATAGCCAAATCAAAAACGCGACACATGACAACACCACTACAAAACCAAGATCCTATTTGATCAGTTTGTCATGGTAATTAGTTCCAGCGGTGTACCTTGCTGCGAAGGCCATGGACATGAGGCACCCCCTGCATATATGCCAAGGCATGCGCACTGATTCTTTCCACTACGGTAGGTCGCGAAGACCCGTTTAGCGTTGCGCAGATGATTATTGCAGACGCTATTGCAACACTGACTCCATGGAACATTCTCCGGGCAAGTTATATGATCAAGGACTAAGCTGCACTTTACTTTCTCTACCATCAGCTTCCTAGAAGAAACAGTTTGACTAGTGGAATGAACTGCAAAACACACACACACACACACAAAATGATATAAATAACAAATAGAGATAGGAGTAACTAAAAAAATAATATTGAGGGAATAAGGATAATAGAAGAAAATTAATAAGAAACAAATTACCAATATATAGAGAAAGAGAGAAATATATGGAGAGAGAATGAGAGCAAATATAGAGTATATAGATTAATAAAATGTGAGAGAATAAGTTAAAAGATAAAGTCTCAAGAAAAATAATGAAAAGTGAAGTATAAGTAAGTGAAAAAACATGAAGAGGAAAAAATGATGTAAAAAAAGAAATATATTTTAAAAGATAAAAATTAAACAAATGAACTATGGGTAGCATGGTTTTAGAACCTAGTTCATCAAAAAATTATTTTTTCAATTTGAAATTAAAAACAAGAAAATTTAAAACTATAGATTTTAATAACTAAATTGATAAATGTTAATAAGTGTATTGAATAAGAAGATATCCCCATCATTTTCATATATAAATATTTATCATTTAAGGTAAAGACTAAATTAACCTATTTGTAAAGTAAAGATGAGATTGTTTTGGTTTTTTTTTTTTTCATGTTATTTTATTAAAACAATGTAGTTTTGTGAGTTTTAACCTCCAAATTTTTTAGAAATTGAGTTGGTATATAATATTTTTATATATATAAGAATTTATTAAAGTGATATTATTTTGAAGTAATTTCTTTCATAATTTTTAAAAGATAAGGTAGATAAGTACAAATCTATATATATACATCCCTTACCTGTTCAAATAAGAGAATGATGAAAGCATGTTTGATTTGCACGACAGAACAAATAGAGAGAGATTCTATAGACAGTTTTAAAGAGTCAATCAACTTCACCTTGGCTATTACCATTGACAGCTAATACAGACTTCTTTGCCATGGTGATGCCAAGACTTGCACAATCCAATCCAATTGCGCCTAAACATCATGAATTGAAGTAGTTAATCCTTCTGACTTTTTTGCCCCAAACCCCAAAAAATCCTGTATTTTGCAGCAAAGTGGAATCTATATTTTATAAACACAGTTGTAGGAGTAATGTGTTCTTACTTTCTTGGAAGCATGGGAAGCTAGGGACATTAAGAAGCTTAAGAAAACCCTGTCGACATAAGCAACTGTATGTGAATGTTGAAATCTTATTGTACGAGCCACTTCCACAATCTGCACAATGTATTAATTAGCTTCATTAAGAAAATCAAAAGATACTAAATTACAACAATAATCTACAGTATGGTGCTTACTATCAAAAACTGATGAATGAAACCCATTAATTAAATCTTTTATCTATTATGTTACAATTACATGCTTATCATATTGTACTAAAAAAAAGAAAAAAAGAAAAAAAAATACACCCAATACAACAAAAAAATGAAGAAGAAGAAGAAAGAAATCAAATCGGACAAGATAATAAAACCTGAACAGAAACGATCGCTTTCAGCTTTGTTCATACGGAGGCAAACCCTAAAAGGTGAATAACTATCGGGATCGTTTATTGCTGGTTGGATGAGAAGCTCGCAAAGGGAATCACCTCGACCGGCAATGACAGCATTCGTGACTTCATCGCAGCAACAGGGGGCAAACTCGCATTTGAAACACAGAGAGAGCTCTTCTAACGGCTTCTCGCATAGTGGAGGATGTGACGGAAAAGAAAAGCCACCTGCGCCACAGAACGAGACAAAGCAGAAGGTAAAGATTGTGGCGGCGGTGCTGCCGGTGGCCGCCATTTTAGCTTGTAGTGTTTGCGCTAGGTTAGGGTTTAGGGTTGCGGGGGCGCAGATTTTCACGTGGATATAGGATATTTGTAGTGTGTTATTTTGAGTTTTTAATTTTTAATTGAAGAGGTTTTAAAATTCATTATTATTTTATTTAATTGAATTATAGTGTATTATTTTGAATTTTTAATTTTTAATTTTTAATTGAAGAGATTTTAAAATTAATTATTATTTTATTTAATTCAATTTTTTAGTGGGCACATTTGGATTTCCAGTTGTTCCTGCCCACTAGAACCGATAAACTGATTGAATTAGATCATCTTAAATTTTAGTTTTTTTTAATTGAGCTGTTTTGGGTATTGGGTTAAATGGGTAGATCTATAACCTATCTACATAGGTGTTAGACTGAGTCAATTGAACTTAATTTTTAAAAAATTAAAATTAAATTAAAATTTTTTTATAATCTTTCTTATTTTTTTCTTAACAAAATCTAATACTAATTAACTATTTAATTAGAAAACTTTATTAAATACTAATTTTCATTTTATGATTCAATTTTCATTCTAATCTCAAAAAAAAAAAAAGGAAATATTACTAATTATATAAGTAGAATTAAAATCTATGTTAAATATATAATGCCTATATAATATTTAAAATTCATAATTTCATAAAGCCACTAACATTTATTAAAAAAGAGACATGAAGAATTAGAGTTAAAAAAATAAATCCAATATATATGTTAATATCTAGTGTTTATTCAATATTTATAAGGTATTATACAAAAATATAGTTTTATTCAATATTTAGAAGGGCATTATACAAAAAAGATAGTCTTATTTAACATTAAATTTTAAAAGACAAGCTCAAAATATATCTAAACAAATACAAGAAATTAGATTGGGATTGATTTTTATTAACTAGGAATAAATTATTAATTAAGAACAAATTAGTAATTTAAAACAAATTAACAACTAAGAACAAATCTTCATGTTATTAAAGTTGTTTTGTGCTTCTAATGGTGATAAGGGTATCTCAACCATTAAGTTTTGATTTTCAGTAGGTATTTTTTCTTTTTATTAAAAAAAAAAAAGATCTATTTGATGATGTCATAGGGCAAAGTTCACTATATTCCACATAATTTTATTTTTTATGTAAGTGCCACCAAAAAAAAGGATTAAGAGCTTGAGATCAAGAGGGGGAGAGCAAGAGTGGAGAAGAGAAAAAGTGAAAAAGAGAAAAAGTTGAAAGAAAGTGAAACTAAGAAGAAGTTAGGGTTTAAGTATTTTATTTATTTTTATTTTTAAAATTAAGAAATTAAATTTTTAAAATTAATTTTTAAATAATTTAATAAAAAAATAAATAAAATTTGGATCATTTTGAGTGACTCGACTCACCCATAACCTAACCCATTGATTTTAGATAATTTCAGTATGAATCATTTTGAATTTCAAATTAATACATAGAATTCATAACCCTACTCATAATAGATGAGTTGGATCAAATTTTCAAATTGGATTCAATTTTGCTAGATCCTCAATGCGGACCCAAAGAAATTTCTGCCAGATCAGTCAAAATTTCAATTATGTGTTACTCCCCCCGTTGCACACACTTAGGCACTCAACATCTTAAGATTGAACCGTGATAAAAATCTAACACTAAATTGACAACCGGCATTGACAAATTTACTGCTGAAAATATTTTATCAAGAGCTCCTTGCAAAAAATAAGAAAACTATTAAGGAACAATTTAGGAGTTAAAATTTTGAATTTTTATATTGAAAATTTTAAATTTAAATTTTGAAATAGATGAAAAAAGGTTTAAAAAAGAGAAGGATATTTTTTATTATGTAGTGTATCATCTAATGTAAAAAAAAATTATCATATAGACTCACCTTATGAAGTTGTTTAAGTTTAGATCTATTAAGGGAGTCATAAAATTGGCTAAGAAAAATGTTTCTCTTGTGGTGAAGATGACATATGTTAGAGAAAAATGAAATTTACGAATTTTGGTTGAGAGAGAAAAAGGAGAAAGAGAGAACTAAGGATGGGAGAGACATTGTTTATCATATTTGTAGATTTTTAATTAACTAAAATAGAAGGTAAAATTAAGTTTTTCTCTGTTATCAGTTTTGTATTCAAAATATCTCAAAATTTTCTCAACTTGGCTAAAGCAACGGTGGAGTGTCCATGTTGGTGCTAGGGACGAGAGTGTCCCGAGCACTGCTCATAAGACAAAGAAAACATCCAATAAAATTTGAAAAACAAAAATGAAATTTAATCTAGAAAAGATGATCAAACGAACCTGAACGATATGATAAAGATGATGATCAAACTTGTATAGTAATGAAACTAAGGATCTAGAGGAGTTCTCTACGTGTTAGATCTTTAAGTTTTTCTCCATCGGCTTTCAATTCTGGACGTGGAAGCCCGTAAATATTGCAAAAGAGCAAAGCATGGAGCCACCTTCTTCACTTGGCATGCTGCTGCTGCTTCCCAGGTTTTTGACCTAGGGAATAACCCCACCATACGTCCCTCTGGGCGGAGAAGATCGAAGATTATTGCTGAGATCCGGATGAAACCCAAATGCGTCATATTAATTGGGAGAAAAATATAACTCAAAATCTAATTCTAACACGTAGAGAACCCTCTCCATCCTTGTCGCATCGAGGAGGCGGCGACACCGAGCGAGAACACAGATGCAGAGAAAAATACGAGGTGATTCCCTTTTGTTTTCTTCAAAATGGTAATGACTTTTAGTTGACCTGTGCAAAATTTACAGCAAACGAAAACACAGGTGAACTGATGGGTCCTACCCAGGGACGGAGCCGATGTAGGACAAGGGGGGGCAGCTGCCCCCCTAAGCTTTTGAAAATTTTGAAATATGGTACATTAATTTTTATGTTTTTATATTGTTTTAAAAATATATGAAATATTAATTAAAACAAATATTAAATATATAAAATATA